TAATTTTTGTTTAAAAATACTGAAAAAAGCAACGATTTTCAAATGACATTCAATCAACCAATATTTTATTCAACAAGAAAGATATGCACTGGCTATAGATAAATACATGTGCTGCTTAATACTTGTTAATTTAACATCAATAAAATGCAATTATTAAAAAAAAAAACTAGATGAGATCTCGTTGCGAGCAACGAGTAGGTCTTCCGTTCAATTTTTGATAAGGTTATAAAACAACTTTAAATATAAAAAAGTGTTCTGATCAATTATTCAAAATACGTGAGAACACATTTAAGAGTGAAATCTATCAATTTCAAACAACTTCCGGTCTTTATAATTCACTTCCGGTGTGACCGGAAGTACTTAAAATGACCTATAACTCCTCTCTGAGTGTGAAGAAATCATCCCTGATAATTTCGAGCAAAAATGTTCATTTTTTGACTACTTCCGGTTTGGAAAAAATTACTTCCGGTGGACATAATATTACTCGAGACACTCTCTTTGCCTCTAAAAGAAACATTTGAAAAAGAAAAAAAATAAAATTTTGCATATTTTTAAACTACTTCCGGTGGACGACGGACGCGACGGCAACAAAAACTATATAGCCTTCTCAAATCTACGAGTCATAATCTATCATCCCTGAAAGTTTCAGGACCCAATCTCCAACCGTTTTCGAGAACACTCTCGGACAAAATGACACTTACTTTAAAAACAGAAAAATGGCCATATCTCGCGACCGGAAGTGACGACGGCAAAATAAAAAAAAACGCATGAAGTTCAAATAGTTTCCTATCATTGCTGAAAGTTTCATGAAAAACTGTCGAGGCGTTCTCGAGAAATCGTCTGCACAAAATCGGTAAGAAAAATAATAATAATAATAATAGTGGATTGATTGATTGATTGATTGTATGCTGTTTAACGTCCCTCTCCAGAATATTTCACTGATATGGAGACGTCACCATTGCCTGTGTAGGGCTGCAAATTTAGGCCTATGCTCGGCACTTATAATTACGGCCTTTGAGCGGGGAGGGATGTTTATCGTGCCACACCTGCTGTGACACGGGGCCTCGGTTTATACGGTCTCATCCGAAGGACAGCCCCCATTTAGTCGCCTTTTACGACAAGCAAGGGGGTACTGAGGACCTATTCTAACCCGGATCCCCACGGGGCTAATAATAGTGGAAAAGAAACAACAGAATCAGTAGAAGGTCTTCCGTTGAAGACGGAAGACCTTAATAAATATAAAAATTAACAATTGCAAGCAAAAGTCGGCAATGGAGCTAAGAGTAAGCCAATTCATGATAAGACGTCCCTAAGTTATATTATTTAAAAAAAAATACATTAAATGTTATTAAATTTGTAGTTTAGCTCTGCATATATTTCAGCATATACTTGTAAATGTTATAATACAGTACAGGCAACGCGGATCCCGTATTTCCCGCGTCCCCGCCGCGGTATAATCACAACGCGGTATTGGCAAGGTAGACAGGTAAACCGCGTTCCCTCCGCGGGAAATTCGTCACTTACCTGTCCCCGCCGCGGTTAAATCTTCGATCAATTACTGACAATTAGTATCGTAAAGAAACGGGAGTTATCTCCCCGAATTGTAATTTGCAAATTTTCCCAGTAACCAAAAAAAAAAAAACAAAAACAACAAAAAAAAAAAAAAAAAAAAGCAAAACAAAAAACAAACAAAAAAACCCGTGTGTTTATTAATAAATTTTGCTGTGAATAGAATTTAAACTAAGAAAAAATAAGTTTATTTTTGTTTCTAAAATTACATATCAATCTTTGAAATTGAATAGAAAATTTAATTAAATTGTTACGTCTTTGCAATTGGTTAATTATTTTGTGTTATTAAGAATCTATCAAGAAACAAAATTAAATACTAGAAATTTTAATTAGTTTTTCTTTTTTAATCTTCATATTATATGCAAACTGTAATAAATGTTGAACTCAGACTGTTTAAGTTTCGATGAACGATTTTCAGCATTCATTTGAAAAAAAAAATGTACATCTTTAAAAAATGTACATCTTCATATTGTTTATTAATTTCGATTTATTGTATATAAAATGTACAGACTTTTTCTTAAAGTGTCAAATTACCGGAAAACATCCGATGACGAGCATTTGCAGTTACATGTAGTGGGCACGTGAACTTAAATTTTCCTTATCCAAGATATCAAGAAAAATTTCTATTCTTCTTTATTTCTCATCGTTTATGTTCTGTTCCCAAATTAAGTTAATTTAATTGATTAATTTTCTTTAATGTATTTCCCTCTTTTATATAAATGTGCAGGCATTTTTCTCAAATTGTCAAATACCGGAAAGCATTCGATGACGAGAGCTAACTTTGAGCACGTGAACTTTATACAAGAGATCAAGAAAAAATATCGTTTTTCACCTTCACATTAACATGTTTTACTTTTTAATACGTCTTTTTAATTTTAATCTTTCTCGATTTTCGTGTTCAATAGATAAGATAGGATGTGCAGGTGTAATGATAAACTTCACAGACGAAATTATAGTTTATATTCAGTGCAAAAATTCATATATTTTTGTTTTCTTTGACAAATTCTGTTTCTTTGTGTATTAAGTATTAGCCGCGATCATTTCCTGTGTATAGGGATTAGCAGTGCCTGAGCAGGAAACGACATGCCCTGGGGGTTTCACACCTGTCTTATAGCATACCTTGGGTAACGCTCGCTGGATGTGCACATCGTTGTCTAGCCATTCAACAACACATCTGATTCATTGTTTCATTATTATTTCATCGATATCATTTTCAGATGCGATATAAGCCTTGGAATTTGTGTCAAATTATCGTTGCTTTTTTTAAACGGAGTGTATAAAAAGAATAAATTTTAAAGTAAAAAAAAAAAATTTAAAACAAATTAATGAAGTATTTGATATTAATTAAATCAAATAATGATCCATTACAGTAACTATGTTATTTCGTGTCTGTTTATATCTGTACCAGTTAGAAGATTGAAAGAGAGAGAGAGGAGATAGAGAGAAGAAAAATATCACAATATTAAGGCACGTGCATGATCGTTTTTCCTCCTTTTTGATCAGTATATCAATTTCCTAAGTCTAGCGAATAAAACTACCGCTGATTTATCAGTTTATTGACCATTTGTCGAATTTGTCTAAGTTTTATTGTTATTTATCGAGAGACTTGTTTATGATCCACTTTCTTCTTTCGTTTAGCATATGTACATGACATGTAATTTGAATATCTTCCCTTCTTGTCGCCAGATTACAACGACAGATTTTGGTGGTAAAATAAAATGTATTTTTGTCATAAAATTTGATTAAGAAAAATACAGTATATTAAAACTGTCGAATTATTGAAAATATTTATTTGAAACAAAAAAATTAAAAAGGATTCTGTCTGCAACAAAAACATTCTTTATTTCATGCATTTCAATTCATGAGTTACACATAAAAAAAAACGGCTTCGCTTTACAATGTCGTAGGAAAACGCATACAGGTAATACACCCAGGTAACATCCTGTGTATATAGGTAGTATGTACACTAGACAGCGTCGTTCCCTCGGGGCTTCTCATCCGCTTCGAGTAAGCTCCACTCCACACCAAACTTACCTGAGGAAAACCGAACGATTACACAGACACCTGAAAACTTGAAGCATGGCAACTTGCTGATTAAAATAAGTTAATTTCTGTGTTGTGTGTTCAATATCTTTAGGGCCCATATTTATGTTTGTGTTTTATTTGAACCGGAAAAATCTGAAATTTGTTTATGTTCATAAACATGATTTTAGTAATTTTCGAAAAGAGCAGAAAATAGATATACATTTAAATACTAGCTATGATATTATTGATATTCTGAATAGAAATACCTGTGATTATTTTATTAACAAGACCCCCCCCCCCAAAAAAAAAAATCGTCGATATTTAGTTCATAGTCTTACAATGTGGCGCATAATAATGGAGCAACGGTATTCCTACACTTAGGTGTATTTTGTTAAAATTTAATTGTAATTATGTATCACTATCTATCACCGTTTTTCATGCTATTATTTATTACAGACATGTATACAGAAGTAACGGTACTTTTCTAAATGAAACCAAATGACTGATATAATCTCGCAGATAAATAAACACAGAGCTACCGGTACATGTAACTGCAACTGCACTGGCTAATTGTGAACACCGGATTACAGTGCATATAAAGAGAAGCGATATCACAACATTCTTTAAATTTTAATTATACCTTTTTAGCAATTTGAAGATCATTTGGGGTGGCATTATTGATTTTGAAAATAAAATTTAAGTTAATATATTCAATAAATTATTCGACTTTATTTCATCCTATACTCTACATGTATTACTGTTAACAGACGTTTTTGAGAATGAATTGATTTTGAGGTGACCATTGGTAAAAAAAAAAGAAGATGTTTTTTATTAAACAATTTGATAAAACTTAAAAATGAATTTTTGAAGAATCCATGTAATGGTACAAATCTATAAATATTAATGTGGTCGTAATCCCCCCCCCCCTCATTTCGACACGATTAAAAATCGACCATATTTTACAGGTAAGAACATCTAAGCTGAAGAATAACGGTAACGGGCCCCGCCGCGGTGTAAACACGGTCTCAGGTAGCATCGCGATCAAAACCCGCGACGGTGTAACGCGGAAAGGATTAATACACCGCGGAGGGGACGCGGTCTAATACGGGATCCGCGTTGCCTGTACTGTATGTTCATATGAGCGACATTTTATTTTATGCACAATTATAGTAATTATACTGTATATTTCTAACATTTTATTAATCACATATAAAATGAAGCTCGTTTATATGGGAAATTACATTACAAACCAATACAAGTGACCTAGGTAATCGATATTGCGTATTTAAATATTCAAAGCTCTGAATAATTTTATTGATCTCGATTTTTAATATATATTTTGATGAAGATCAGGTCGTATGTTGTAAGGGACTATTTATACTTGATTTCTGTTGTTCTTTTCGTAGATATCTTAACAACAACAGAATTACCACGATACCGGACAATGTCTTTGCCAGCTTATACAATTTACGTGAACTGTAAGTAATCTAGTATGCATGTAACAAAAACTGATATATATGTTCTATAAACGTCTACCACAGTGTCTGCTAGTTTGCTAGTTTCCAACCAATTTTCTACTTTTGTGTTCATATATTTTTATTGAAATTGAAGTTTATTTCAATTTTTGTTAAAGTTTTTTTTGAAAAAAAAAAATTCAAATGACATTCAAAAAACCAATATTTTATTCAACAACAAAAAATATGCACATGGTAAAGACAAATACATGAAGTGCTTTATAATTGTTACTTTAACATAGCTACATCTTTACACTGAACTCATCTGAGTTTAAATGTGCTTTTGTTTGTTGGAACCCTCTATATTTTTTTCTTGTCATACTTTTGAAACTACTCGAAGAATTACCCGCATGCGCATAAAGGAAAACATGAAATATGTATATATCAGCTCTTAACCTTTTATTATTGTTTTAATTATTATTTTTGTAAAAGACGATTACTTTAATTTGTTTAATTCGGTTTTCACATAGATTGTTGTATACCACTTCACTATTTCATTTTGTAAATAATGTATGAACCAAGAATATGAAAAAAACATGGCCTTGATTTACGACATGTGACGGTATATAATTGAACTGAAGTTATTTTTAAAAGAAAAAGTAAAGTTCATACTTTTAAGCATAAGACGGTAATGGAAGTAAGTGCATGTCACTGTATGATACATCATCCCTGAAAAATAATGATAAAGTAACATTTCTTTAATTCGCAGGTAAGCTATACATATATTTTCAGTATGAACATGTATATGTTGTGCAACTTTCATAGGTATGACATTTTACTGGATGCACAAATAATTATCAAGAGTATAGAACTGCATGCAGAGTAATTATACTGTAATTATAATTCTATCATTTTATAAATCACAAAAATAAAACTCGTTTATTTTAATGCAATGAGTATTTTGATAGCCCGGTTACCCATCCACTGGCTAATTTATTTCCATAATCCTCTCAACGCTAGAACACCTTATCTTATCCTCCTTCAATGAGTAAAAAGTCTGTAAAACACATTGCCGTGTGTTGCCACCTTTGATAATTTAATAATTTGTTTAAAATTCTCAAGAGTATTAATAACAATGACATATAATTTTAAGCAGACACAACATATCAAGATGTAGAAAAAAACCAATTTTTTACAGGGGAATATTCCAAATTTACAATAATTACCACTAAGAGTTAACAGAAAAATCTCGAAAATGGGTCTGAAAACGCTAAAATATAAATTTAAATAACAAACAAAAATGGTGGAGGCGGGGTGGAAGGGGGTAAATAACTCATTTTGAAAAACGTCCCTCCTCCAAGGATGTAGATGGAAGAAAAAGCAGAGTGACGCATCGCGGGTCGGAATTTCATTTGTTTGATTTTGATTGGTCAATCTCTGCCTCTCCTAAGACAAGAAACAAATGACCATTAAAAAAAACAGCTAGAATATTTCAGACTTTCAAATTAAAGGTGGACACCTTTTGATTACAATAAAAAATTTAAGTAAACTTAAATTTATTTATCTATTTATTTGAGAAATATCATTTCAAAATCGATCCAAGTGACATATGTAATCTATATTACGTATAAAAGAATTTAGAACCATGTTTTGACCGCTCTGAACAATGATGGGTTTCATTCATCGTTTTTAAAAAATAGAGACATGTATTGTTGAAGATCACGTTTCTTTAGTGTAAACATTGTAATTTTAAAGACGAACAACGTCTGATTTCTATTATTCCTTTCGTAGATATCTTTACGGAAACGAAATCACCACTATACAGGACAATGTTTTTGCCAGGTTATACAATTTACGTGAACTGTAAGTACATGTATGTCTAGTATTTATTGTAACTGAAACCGTTATATATGTTAACTAAATGCTATCACATTTTCTGCTAGTGAATCATTTCTACCAATATTTAACTTTTGCTTTCATACATTTTTGGTTGAAGTTAGAGTTGGTTCAAATTTTAGTTCAAACGTCCTTGAAAAAGAGATGATTTCAAATAACATTCAACCAAATAATATTTTATTCAACAACACAAAATATGCACAGGCTTTAGACAAATACATATGATACTTAAGGACAGAAGATACAAACAATTTTTTTCTTTGAAAAAGATTAAATATCATGTCGCAAGTTTAGAAAAGTGGATGGTTTTAAGATTTTATTCTCCTAAGAAGAGGATTATGAAAAACACTTGGAAAATATTAGTAATATTTCAATGAAAAAACAAAAATAGACAAAACACATTCAGTAAAGGTTTACAGGTGAAAACAAATTTCAGAATATGTTTTCTTGGTGCTAAAAGTGTAATATAAACTGAGGAAAAATATACCAAGCCAGGTGAATTTTATTAGGAAAAGCTAAATTGTAAAAATCAGCCTATGTAGTATTGCTAATTTTTTGTCATTTTGTTCCTTCTATTAAAATTCACCCGGCTTGGTATATTTTTCTAAGGTTTATATTACACTTTTAGCACCAAGGTAACATATTTTGAAATTTGTTTTCACCTGTTAACCTTTACTGACTATGATTTATCAATATTTGTTTTTTATTGAAATATTACTAATATTTTCCTAGTCTATTTAATTTTCCAGTTCTTAGGAGAAAATATTCTGAGAATTATCCACATTTCTAAACTTGAGACATGATATTAAATCTTTTTCAAAGAAAAAAATTGTTTGTATCATCTGTCCTTAATACTTTTTAATTTAACATAGCTGCCGGTAAATCTTTATGATGAACCCATTCGAGTTTAAAAGTGCTTGTGATTGTTGAATCCCTTTTTTTACCATAATGTTTGAAACTTGTTGAAGAATTACCGGTAGGTTCATGAACTAATATCTGAAATTTATCTCTCTTGAAATCTGTTTTCAGAAGTAACATCATCTGTAATACTAAATAATGTTTTTTTTTCGGGGTTTTTTTATTTGTATAATTTGTTTTTCACACAGATTTTTGTAAAGACCTACCATTTCTCCGTTGTAAATAATGTATGATAATGTATGAACCAGAAATATGAAACGCATGCCATTGATTTACAACCTGTGACGATATATACATTTATTATACGGCAACCTTTACTTCAAATACTGTAAACGTACTACATTTAGCTGTGTTTTCTTTTTAGTGGCTTTGGCGGATCGCAGCAACCACTATAAATCAAGCACAAAGCTAAATGTCTTGCACATAAATAAGAATGTGAAGAAATGTGCTAAATCAAATCTACGCTGACTTATTCAAAAGTCAATTTCCGCCAAATTTCGTACACGCTATACATTAACATTATTTTTTTTCTAAATAAATAGTAAAATTCACAAATTTGTGCATAAGAAGGTAATGAAGGTAACTGTATGCGTTTTATGATAAGTCTTTCCTTAATTATACAATAAAAAATATATTCTTTTTAAATTCGCAGTTTAGCTATGCATATGTTTTTCAGTATATTTATACTTTTGCATGTTGTTAAATGTACAATGTACATGCACAAAAAGTTATTAAGGATAATGAACTGCAATCCAGAGTAATTATACTGTATCTATATTTCTAACCTTTGAGCAATTACATAAAAAATAGAACTCGTTTATTTGAGAAACTGAATTTCAAAGTCAATGAGAGAGACAAAAGGTAATCGAAATAACGTATAAAAAGTATTCCAATCGATGATTGCAGCGCTCTGAAAAACTAAGGCTTGAATTATAACATTTTTTTTCATATAAATTTTGGCCCCGTGGGGATCCGGGTTAGAATAGGTCCTCAGTACCCCCTTGCTTGTCGTAAAAGGCGACTAAATGGGGCGGTCCTTCGGATGAGACCGTATAAACCGAGGCCCCGTGTCACAGCAGGTGTGGCACGATAAAGATCCCTCCCTGCTCAAAGGCCGTAAGTGCCGAGCATAGGCCTAAATTTGCAGCCCTTCACCGGCAATGGTGACGTCTCCATATCGGTGAAATATTCTGGATAGGGACGTTAAACAGTATACAATCAATCAATCAATCATATAAATTTTGATGAAGATCAAGATTCTTAAAGGGTATATGTTGTAAAAAGACTATCTACACTATCATTCTTTATTCTGTTCTTAGTTTTCTTTCCGGCAACGAAATCACGATACTGGACAATGTCTTCGCCAGCTTATACAATTTACGTGAACTGTAAGTACGTCTATTACTTATTGTATCAGAAACCGTTATATATGTTGTATGAATATCTATCACAGTCTCTGCTGGAGAATCATTTCCTACCATTTTTTTTTTACTTTGGATTTCATACATTTTTTATTGAAAATTGCAATTTATTTTTATTTGAGTTTTAAAATATTGAAAAAAAGCAACGTTTTTCAAATGACATTTAACCAACCAATATTTTATTTAACAAGAAAAATATACACTGGCTAAAGACAAATACAATGTCATGTGATGCTTAATGCTTGTAAATTTAACATCAATAAAATGAAATTATTTTAAAAATAAAAATATAAATAGTAAAATTAAGAATTGCAAGCAAAAGACGGCAATATAGGTAAGTGTATGCCAAGTTATGATAAGTAGTTCTTAAGTCGTAGTTTACCTATGCATATACATGTATTTTAAGCATACTTGTATTTGTTATTATATGTTCGTATGAGCGACATTTTAATGTATGCACAAAAATGTATCAAGAATAATGAGCTACAATGCAGAAAACTAGTAATTATATTGTATATTTCTTACATTGCTAACATTTTATTAATTATATAAAAAGTGAAGCTCGTTTATTTGGGAAATTACATCACAAACCAATGCAAGTGACTAAGGTAATCGATATAGCGTATAAAATATTCCAACCCATACCTCCACGGCTCTGAAAAATTAAGGAATTTATTCATCTCAACTTTTTTAAATATATAATTTGATGAAGATTAACATTCTTAAAGGTCTTTTGTTGTAAAAGGACTATTTATACTTGATTTCTGTTAATCTTTTTGTAGTTATCTTAACTACAACAAAATCACCACGATACAGGACAATGCCCTCGCCAGATTAACATTCTTAAAGGTCTTATGTTGCGAAATGACTATTTATACTTGATTTCTGTTATTCTTTTCGTAGTTATCTTGGCGACAACAAAATCACCACGATACAGGACAATGCCTTCGCCAGCTTATACAATTTACGTAAACTGTAAGTAGGTCTAGTACTTATAGTAACAGAAACCGTTATATATGTTCTATAAATTGCTACCACAGTCTCTGCTAGTGGATCATTTCCTATCATATTTCTATTTTTGCTTTCATACATTTGTGTGCTTGCAATTGGAGTTTATTTCACATAGGTACATATTTATGATGAACCCACTGAAGTTTAAAATAATGTGCTAATGTTCTATATATTTCTTTACAATTATGTTTGAAACTGATTGCAGAAAAACCTTCATTCTCCTGAAAGAATACATGAACTATAATCTGTCGTGGAATCTGTTCTCAGGATCAACATAAGCTGTAAAACTTTAACAATTGTTTTTTTCTTAAAATCGTTTTTTTTAAATTTGTTTAACTCTTTTTAGCGTAGATTTTTATATACCATTGTTACTTTATAAATAATGTATGGAACGTGAATATTAAATATATGCATTGATATATAACCTGTCAAGGTACATATTGTACGGCAACAATATAATTAGTTATCCAGGTTCAATCAAGGGTGTACGGGAATTTACCCCGGTTTTATTCCATACACCCTGAGGCCGCAAACGAATTTATTTCCTTTGTACCAATAAAAAAAAGCTTTGTAAACATCAGAGTGTGTCTCAATCTATCGATTAGATAACCACGTATTGAGAATGTATGCATTGTGACGTCACGTTTTATTTACACCCGGCTCAAGTCGGGTGCACGGATATTTACACCCGACTTTGTAACCAATCAAATCCCAAGTACAAGCTAGGTAGGAAATAAATATCTAACTTCACTTCAAATAATTAAACAAGGGTTATCTTTAAAATAATTGGGAAAATTCATAATTACATATACACGTATGTAAATATTGTAAAAAGTCATTTAAGAAAGTTTAACTAGTTTATTTATTAGGTGTATTTGTGTTTGTTTTTTTTTTTTTATATTGAAAAAACCTTTATTAATTTATTTAAGTGTTTATTACTTCAAATTGAAAAAAAAATTGAAATTTGTTCAAATATACATTTTTTTTTATAATTCTATTGTAATATCCAATTAATCGCAATTTTCGTGGACCTTTCCGACAAGCAAACATTTCCGAGCTCTTTGGAAGGTTGTGAATATGTCATTGATAACACATAATAAAAAACTTTTATTCATTCGAACTGTAATAAGCATCCGTTGTATTTGAGAACTTAATTTGTTCTAACCATAATACATTTCAACAAAAGATATTATATCTAAGTATTGTGACATCTCATCACATGGTAAAAGCAAACTTCATTAATTGTGATAAGTTGTCAATAAAACAATATAACAATAGCATAATATTACCCATTCTGACAGGTATTATGTCTAGATATGAGGTAATACATTTTATTTTTGTGACGTCGTAATCAGATGTGAACAAGAAAATCGTCCAAACCATAGAAATATTGTACCCAGTTTTAATGAGCAATAAGCCAAACTGCGACCTAGATTAAAGATTTTTTTTTAAAATTATGCAACCGAGTATGAAACTTACTACTTAAGCGTTCGCTTCGTGATCAAGAGACAACTGCGTGATTCCCGTTCGCCGAGCCGCGTCCAACTTGATATATTAACAACAGTCGTTATTGTTCTTTTGCAAAGCGCCCGACACAAAACGTGAAAGTCACATACTGTTCTTTCGGGATATCCTTGGGGCAGTGTTTATGTCCTTCTCAAAGAACAGTATACCTTTTAAACGGGCACGGCTGCAAAGAAGCCGACTGATATACCGTTTTTTATCAACTTATTTGTGGATACCATTACTCGTTTTATATATATTATCTACGTATACAAAACATAATTAAGGTCATATTTATGAGAAAAAGAATTTAATGGATAGTAACAGCAAAGCTTTATGATAAAGTTGAAGACTTTAACTTTAAAATCGTTGTTGTAAGAAATGTAATTTTTTAAACAAATCTTTCGACCGTCTTTGTTTTCAGTGAAAACATACGATATAAATCCCCTTAACAAAAATATTTTGAAAAGTCTTAAGGGCATAATCAGTCGTAACTTGACAAAAACCTATTAAACTCTCATAAGTATTTTTAAACAGATTTATTCTAAAAACATAACCACAGAAACCAATTTGTACATTTCATTGTACTGTTTGAAGCAATATAATAATATTATATATATATATATATATATATATATATATATATATATATATATATATATATATATATATATATATATATATATATATATATAATCCACTAAATAGTCTCAGTATTCGGAATTATTGACTGAAACATGTTAAAATAAAGAAGAAAAACACGAAAAACTCCACTTAAGGATGTACAACACACCTACCCCAAAAAATTCCTGTCGTTTAATTTTCGTTATTTTTGTATATTTAGTACATGACTATATCTACTGCATGTATGCATATTTTGGACAAAATCGTTCGAGTGGTTTTTGGACAGGAACTTCCGAAAGTTACCCCCCTTTAGTTGTTTACAAGGAGAGAAAATTCTTAATTAATGAACTACTTAAACCTTGATTTTCAAAAGAACCAGGTTAGATATAAATGTCAAATTTCATTGGCTTATTCCTTTAACCATTTAACACAAAAAAATGGTCATCTTTTTGATATACATATCATCAAAATAATTTTTAAAGACCTTAAACTGAAAAAACTATGAATTATATAAGCCTTTAAAATTGCGTATTTTTCAAATTCAAATTTTTTTTGTGAAAAAACCTGTCGTTTAATTTTGGTTAAAAACTTTCTTTAGGTAGCTGGTAGTAAAAATAATCTTCATAATTTTTTGTATAATTTTTGTACGACCAGTTTTGATTTAATAGTGGAAAATTACCCCCTCCCCCTTTCTCAATAAAACACGTTCCCGCGCGTCTTTCAGACGGGGGTCGATCACTTTGTTATATGAATCTACAAATACACATTAAAAAAAAAATTAAATTGGAGTATTACTTTTGCTTCAAAAATATATTAACTTACAAATTTAAAAGTTCTCATATGTAAAGCGTATTTAAATGTAGATTTTTAGGCAATTTTTGAATACCCCTATCACCCCCACCCCATCCTTTTTTGCGTCGCGCGTTTGACAAAACGTCGTTTACAGTGCAAATATACTGGTATTTCGTCAAAATCCCGGAGGTATGCATTAGTTTTTAAATTCATGAATGCAGAATCAATATTGACTATTCTTTTTATATGTATCAGAAAAAATTACTGAAAGATTTTAGTGTCTAATCCATATACGTATGCGTTATGCATTCCATACTAGTATCTCATGAAACCTGGATACGAATTCAAGTTTTGTTGAACTTGCAGAATATGTTGTTTTTTAATTTTATTTCTTTAATTTTATTCATTAAAAAAAATGGTGTTTGTTCAACTCTCCTGTCCTGTGATATAAATGGAATAATTGTAGTCTCTTTCATGTCATCTTTTCAAACGAGACAGTATGTGGCCGTTGGGATACATCGACATTTGCATTAGATGTACATACACCCCTCATGATATTGTTCGCATTTCTTTCAATGTCGCCGCTTCTAAAGTTAAAATGAAAATTCCGTATTCGTCCAGTCCACATTAACATAAAAAAATCAATAAATAAACTCTTCATCTATTTCAATTTATATCAAATCGCACATTGATATTTTTTAAAATCTTATAGACTACGTTTTGTTTTGATTCGAGGAAATGCGAACCGACTTTGTTGACAGAAAGTCAAAGTTACGATTTGCTGCAATAGGATATTCATAAATGCAAATAATTTCAGTAACAAGTAAACAATTCTTTTCAATTCTATACTTACATTGTGCATTTGAGGTCTATAGTATTCAATTCTCGGATTTATCAGGTCTTGCTGTGTAGCCTATAGATTGATTCTGTGAAAAACCGTGAAGAAAGGGAGGAAAATAAACATCTCCTACATTTTCAGAGTTGTTCCTCTTTGATCAGTAAGGGTCTGAGAACAACATCGATTTTACATTGTAAAAAGTTTTTTGTTTATTTATTGTTGTTTTATTTAATTAAAGAAGAAAAACAATATTTATATCGTGTATGCACAAATTTTATCTCAGATAAGTGCATATAAAAAACATCAAGTATGTATTTATCACAGACTCCACACAAAAACAACAGTGAATTTAACGTTTCCTTATTATTTATTTCTTAAGTTTGGCATTTTAATGGCCACGGCTGGTTCAAATCAATTTATGAAAAATACACGTGTACAGTGGGTGCCGACCCAATTGGTTTTTGGCACACCTCCAATAAAAGCAAACAAACAAACAATCAATCAATGAATCAACAATCAATCAATCAATCAATATTAACTGTACACATGTCAAAGTTTTACAGGATAAGACTGACGTTTAGCTTCAAAGTTCCTGCAGTTGCGTCAGCCTTATGCATCAATCAATATGCATCAATCAGTGTTCAATACGATCAATTAATGTTCAAGTCAATCAATGAATGTTCAATTCGATCAATAATATTCAATTAGATCAATCAATGTTCAAACAATATTCAACAAATCAATATTCAGTTCATTCAGATCAATGTATTGTATGCTCATGTTAAGCCAATCAATGTTCAAATAAATCAATCAATGTTCAATGTAAATTATATACAAGTTCCTTGTATTCCATTCCAGAATTATCCACGCAATCATGTTCGAGTTGCGCCCTGTTAACAGCGGTGCAAGTCAAGATGATATGTGTTAAGCTAAATTCGCCTTTCAGCCATAAGCTCTTATCAAGGTTATTACGTAGAATACAATACTAGGTGCAGATAGGGTCAGCCGTGACGATGCTGCTGTGAAGCAGATTGATGATTATCATAAACAACAACTACGCCCTGTTTACAGCGGCGAGTGTCATTATGATTGGATAAGTGAAACTCCTCCTCCTGGTCCTTGGCACTGTCCATCACTCTGGCATGTAACTCTGTCGAAAAGGGGTGAAGTCGGACATGGCTAGGCAACGTCTTAGAATGAGTCGTGG